CTCCTCTCCTCGAGTCTCCTCTCCTCTCCTCTCCTCGAGTCTCCTCTCCTCTCCTCGAGTCTCCTCTCCTCTCCTCTCCTCGAGTCTCCTCTCCTCTCCTCGAGTCTCCTCTCCTCGAGTCTCCTCTCCTCGAGTCTCCTCTCCTCGAGTCTCCTCTCCTCGAGTCGAGTCTCCTCTCCTCGAGTCTCCCCTCCCCTCGAGTCTCCCCTCCCCTCCCTCTGTGGAACACCATCTGTGTTTCATTAGAAACTTCTCAGATTAAGAAAATGCCTTTAGAAAAACTCTTCATTCTGCCTAAAGAATGCAGTTTACTTACAACAGCATCCAAATATTGTTATGATACTGCACTTTCCTGTGGACCTCTAATTTCAAGAAATATGCAGAAACATCTAGAAGCAGAAAGAGAAGAAGCAAGAATGTTATTGCCACATGCTGCTCAGAAAAAACACTTGAATTATAGTTGTAGAATCAGTTTCTACAGTGCACGTAATCACTAGGAATAGTTTGTAATTTCTCTGTTTAATTCATCCATTTGTCTTCTGGACAGTAGCTCTTAAAAGTCTGCATTACTGAAAGGTTGGTGGAAATTCAAAATCTCTAAATCTCTTCCTCCACAGACAAAGTTTGAATATCAGATGAGTCTTGAACCCATAAAGCAAACGTGCTGCTCTCCATTAAAACAAGACACCTGCAAAGTTCTTAAGAATGAGCCTTGTGGTGCACGCTTTGGGACTGCGATTGCTGCAGTGAAGGATCTCAACCTGGATGGGTACAATGACATTGTGATAGGCTCTCCCTTAGAAGATGACCATCGGGGAGCTGTTTATATTTATCATGGCCGTGGCAAGGCAATCAGTAAAAAATATTCACAGGTATGAAGTAAATCTCCACAGGTTGATCCAACTGCTCTAATGTATATAATGTTTATAATCCTATCTTCCCAATACTGGATGAGATTGTGACTTGACCAGTTGTAACAGCTTCTCTTTTAAATTGAAATATACTTTTAAACTCGTACTGGTTTAACTGAATCTGAGTCTTAATATTAATGGATATTAAACGATATATCCATGTGTTTTTATTAGAAACCTTCTGACATTTTCTGAACAGCCAGAAAAGCAGATATTTTGCAATCTGAAAATTTATAGTGTGTTCATCACCATAGTAACTGTTTTAGGAGTACTGTAATGAAAATTTAATACAGTTAAAGAGCCTAAACCCCATCTCACTGCCATCAAATGCATCTTGACTGTTACAAAACCCTTCAAAGTGCACTGCATTAACCTCTTTGTGCATTTCACAGCGTATTGCATCAGGTGGAGATGGGGAAAAAGTGAAATTTTTTGGCCAGTCTGTGCACGGAGAAATGGATTTAAACGATGACGGGCTGATTGATGTTACCATCGGAGGCCTTGGTGGGGCTGCCCTCTTCTGGTACGGAGACTCACAGCAAGTCGGGACAGAAAAAAAACTTGTTGGGATACCGGTGTAACTCTCATGCATGACTGTTTGGACTTTGTAAGGTTACTGGTTTCATCTCATGTTTAGACACTGACTGCAAATATTCATCTTCTCACATCTCTCTAGAGGACTAAGCATAAAACTTAATGTATACCGTTAGAAATACTGGAATGTTATAGAACTCTTGCTGGCCTAGAATGAAGAACTTGCCCTCCTAGACCACCTTCAAAATAGAAACTGATTCCACGTGTGGCATTAAGTAAAATAGTAAAAAAACCTGAATTTCTCTCTTTTTCACAATATATTGCATATTATTTTGTTAACAATATCAAGAACAGGTTCAAATGTAAAGGGGTCACTAAGAAAATTGATTTTAGTTCTAAATAGAAAAACTGCAATTTGAGTCCCTACAGAAAATCTGTAAAATTAAACAAAGCCTTCTGCTTAGTTTACAGTTTACAGTAACAGTCAATTAATTTTCTTTATATGAGAGGATTATTCAGATCTAGTAGTGAGCACTATCATTTTTAAGGGAGAAGACAAACAATCTTAAACATAAATCCCTTATTTCTCAAGCACAACTAAAACTATTTCTGTCTCTGGTAAGGAAATGGCCTGCCCAGATCCTTGCTTTCCCTGTCCTGCTGTTTCACCTAGCTCACCTGGTAGGTGATCAAGTTTGTCAAGGCTTCCTAGCATCCTCAAGCTTTTTCTGAACTTCACCTGCTATTTTCTTCGTAAATGTTCCATGTGTAAACACAGTCTGACGCCCTTCACTACATTGTTGAGAGCACAATTCTGAAGAAAGTTTGCCAGCTAAATTTTTTGCTGGTTTCATACACTGACATGCTGCATCTCATGGCCAAAAGGTAACCAATTCAGAACAAGGGATGAGGCAGGAATGCATTGCAGGGGTGAAAAATATTTAAAGTGAAGAAAACTGGGGGCAAATATTAGCCTGTTTGTCTGCTCACAAGCTAAGGGATGGCTTGCAATCCTCCAGCTTACATATAATGTTATGCTCATCTGTGATACTGTCAATGATAGGTCTGGGCCTTCAGTCTCTTTTAAAATGGATCTGTTTCTGTAGAGTTGCTTAAATTCTTTTGGAAATATTTCACCTGATATCTTTTCTGAAGCAAGCACAGCACTGTGGAGAAATCCTGTGATTGTTTCCTCCATAATTCCTCTTTTACTGGTACTAGGTATAGGATATATAATTAATTACTCTTCTAGACCATCATGCTGTTCTTGTTCCAAATTCTTCAGGGGCTTTCCCTCCTGAGTGACAACTAAGCTTTAAAAAATGCTTTAGTGCTTTATAGGCTTTGGCTACTGAGGACATTTCTTTGCCTCTTTTTGTTGCTCACTTTTTGGTTTTCTGTATGATGAGTTCTCTCTGTGATGGCAGTTAGCAGGCATGCAGTAATCTGCCCAAATGAAGAAAGGCAAATGCCGACTGAAAATGTGCCAGAGAAGTGCATTACAACTGCCAGCTGTTTTTGTAGCATCACACAGCAAAGACAGAAGATGTGAAATAATAGATAGCTTCTTAATTGGCACAACATGGCCAACGCTGTGTCTGCTACTGTACTGCAGCATGGTGTCATCAACATATGCCCCAGGAATCTCACTTCAATTGTGGATTTTATGCTTCTGTTATTTTCTTGGAAAATAATAATAAATAATGTTCTTTGGAACATTAAGGATTTTTTTTTCTTTTTAGCTATAAGCTTCTTTACAGTTGGACTCAAATGATCTTAAAGTCTTTTCCAGCCTAAACAATTCAATGAATCTGTGATTCTGTGTCTGTATCTGAATGTTGAATGCTGCATATTTTGTAAGTTCATTCATAGATTTAAAAAAGTTACTGCTCTTATTTCCTTTTTTCTTTAAGAATATAAGAAAATATATTTTCTTATTTCTTTATTTCTTATTATTCTATTTTCTAAGTTCCAAGCACTTTATTTGTGTTTTTTTTAAGGTCTCGTGACGTGGCTGAAGTAAACGTTTCCATGCAATTTATACCTAAAAGCATCAATATTCAACAACAAAATTGTCAGATAAATATAAGAAAAACGATATGCATAGATGCCACAATTTGTTTTAAGACCAGACTAAAGTCAAAAGAAGATATATTTGAATCCAGTAAGTAGATAAGCACTAAGCTATGGAAGCTTTAAGCTATTAAATTCCTATGCTTACATGCACTTAGTAATTAAAAAATGGAATTCAGCTTTTCTAAATTCAGTATTCAAAGTGCATCTGAGATGTTTTGGGAAAAAAGAAGGTGTAGAGACAAAGTGCTTTATAATATGCTTCATAATATTGATCTCAACTTCCTTTGTAGGTCTGCAGTATTGGATTACCCTTGATGCACAAAGACAGATATCTCGAAGCTTGTTCACAGAAAGCCATGAGAGGAAAATGCAAAAAAATATAACTGTCAAAGGATCAGAATGTACAAAACATAACTTCTACATGTTGGCAAGTAAATCATTTAAAATATTTTTTTTCATGCTGACACTAGAGTAACCCA